CTTACTCTCCTGTGCTGAATTCCTTTTATTTGTGGATTTTTTTTTCATTTCTTTTATTTTTGTAGATTTTGTTTTTACTGAGACTGTGTTTTTCTTCTTTATTTTGATGAGTAAGTTTGTTAAGTTTCTTTGTGGTTACCTTGAAATTTACCCTTGTCTTCCTAGTTTTGAACCAGTCTATTATTACTTGGTATCGCCTTGCCTTCCACACCATTAGAAGGTTCTATACCTACACCGTTTATTCCCGCTTTTATTATTCTGATGTTGTTGTCATTTACAGATTAACTTCTCTGGTTCCCTTGTAATTCTTTTGGTTTTAGATAGTCCTTGAGAGTTCATTTCCTAGGTTAGTATCTGGCTCGTACAATCTTACATCCTAGATTCAGGCTGTGGTCTGATGTTGTTTATTCTCAGTTCGAAGGACTCTCTTTAATAATTCTTGTACCTTTGGTTTGGTTTTTACGTAGTCCCTCAATTTCTGTTTATCTAGAAATGTCCTAATTTTACCATCATATTTGACTGTGAGTTTTGCAGGATATATTATTCTTGGCTGGCAGTTTTTTTCTTTCAAGGTTTTATGTATATCATCCCATTGCCTTCTTGCCTGCATGGTTTCTGCCAGATAATCCAAGCTTAGTGTTATTGTTTCTCTTCTGTATGTGACTTTTCAGTTTTCTCGAGCTGCTCTCAGGATTCTTTCTTTATCTTTGGTTTTAGCTAGTGTGATTATGGTATGCCTTGGTTATTTTCTTTTGTGGTCTATCCTGTATGGTGTTCATTGAGCTTCTTGGATGGTCAGCTTTTATCTTTCATGATATTGGGGAAGTCTTCTGTCAGCATTTCTTCAATGATCCTCTCTGTGTTTTCTGTTTTCTCCCCATTCTGGAATTCTGGTCACTCGAAAATTTTTGCTTTTGATTGTATTCCACATAATTCTCAGGGTTTCTTCATTTTTCTTCATTCTTTTTCTGATTTTTCCTTCAAACAGAGTTGTATCCAAGTGTTTGTTTTCAGTTTCACTGATCTGTTTTCCATTGTTTCAAACCTGCTCCTTAGCCGTTCTGTGACACTGTCCATTTGTGAAATCTTGTTGTTTATCTTTTAGATTTCTAATTGTTGTTTTTTGTATGATTTCTGGTTGTGAATTTATTTTGGCATTTTGTTCCTGTATTATTTTTCTGAATTATTCTGTTTTTTTGTCTGTATTTTCCATGAATTTGTCTGCCTTTTCCATGAATTTGTCTATTTTTTCCTCATTTTTGTCTGCTTTTTGCTTCAACCCTTGGATAGCTCTGAATATTAGAGATTTGAATTCCCTATCAGGTAGTTCTATGCCATTTCTTCTACTGGAAAGTCATCTGGTGTTTTATTTTGGATGCCTACTGGAACCATCCTGTTCTGTTTTTTTATATTTTTTGATATTGTCTGCTGTCTTCGGGATATTCAGTAGTTATTTTCCTTGTACTGATTGTAAATTTGTTTCTTTCGTCCTGCTGTTCAGTTTTATTTGGTTATGTCTGAGCAGGCAGGCTCTGTGTTCTTTTTTGTTTGCTCGTCTGTGGGCACGATACTTTTCGCCTCCTTGTCCAATGGGCTGGGTCAGTCGCTCAGCTGTGGTGCAGCAGGGCAGGTCCAGCTGAAGGGGAGTTGCTGATTGGGACATAAACCTTTTCTTGATAGCTCTAGAGACATGGTAGTGACCTTCAGGGCACCTTAGGTACATGACCAGAATCTTAAAAGTGTGTGTGTATTCATGTTCCCCCACCCCATGAGGTGGTTCTAACATCACCCTCCTTGTTAGCCAAGCAAATACCCAAGATAGTTTGAAATGTATTCAAATTTAGAATAAATTAACTCTGAGGGCATAGGTACTGTTTGGTTCATAGACTTTGTGACATTTGCTTTAAGATTTTAGGCACTTGTTTATTTTCAGCTTCTATTTGGATGAAGGTATGGGATTATTGAAGGAGCCCTGGTGGCCCAGTGTTAAACACTCAGTTGCTAACTGAAAGGTCGGTGGTTCGAACCCACCAGCCACTCTGTGGGAGAAAGATGGGTCAGTCTACTTCTGTAAAGGAAATCCTATGGTGCAGTTCTACTCTTTCCTGTAGGGTTGACATCGACTTGAAGAGTTGAAATCAGCTTGACGGCTATGGATTTAGGTTTATGGGATTAGTGTCACTAGGAGTCAGAATCAACTCCACGGTAGCAGGTTTTTTTTTTCCTTTTTTTTCCCCAGTTGTAATTTAAGGAGTACTTGGGTGGTGCAAATGGTTAAGCACTCAACTACTAAATGAAAGGTTAGTGGTTCAGACCCTCCCAGAGGCACCTCAGAAGACAGGCCTGGCAATCTGCTTCATGGCCTTGAAACCCCTATGGAGCAGTTCTACTCTGCACACATGATGTTGCAGTGAGTTGGAATGGACTCAATGGCAACAAAGAACAATGATGGGATTTAAATTTTCATTTGAATTTCCATCAGAAATCGATAAGACCTTTAATTTGTTACTACTTACAAATAGGACCTTGAGAAAGTGAATTCACTTCTGAGTTCCTACTTTTAGATACACAATTGTGTATGAAAAGACTTAATTTCATTAGTACAACAGTAACATTAAGTTCTGGAATGATAGAATGTATATATCTGACATTTGTCAGTTTGCCTTATGGTACATAAGTTTTGCAGAGTTTGTAAGTCACTGTGAGTTCACTGTAGTAGGTTTCTGTTAAGCATTTTAAAAACATAAAAATGTAGTTTAAGGAGTCCCTTAAATGATTTTAAATGTCTGATGCATTTCTGCTTTATCAGCCAAGCTCTTGGTGAGATTAAACACAAAACCTGTAGAGGCAGTCCCCAGGTTATGAACATGAGCCAACCCATGTAAAGCCTATTATACTAAAAATTCGAGGTACATACAATGGTTATTAATAACAAATGGGTGGTACTTTGCAACATGCATCAAAACATTATTATTATTATTATTACTGTATTGCTATGTTAAAGATGTTTTAGTGTATCTGGATGTGTTTCTTTAATGTTTTTTATGCATAGAAATGTACACTATATACTAATACAAACGTTTGACTAACTGACATTAGATACAAACCATACCTAACTGGTCTGACTTACGTACAAATTTGACTTAAAGACAGATTTAGGAATGGAACTCGTTTGTAATCCGAGACTTCCTATACTAAGTGTAGGTGTCTTTATCTCTAAAATATTTCTATTTTTCATTTTAAACGCAGCTGATAATATTCTCCTCTTTTGAGAAAATACATTAATTTCACTCAGAAAATGTATTTTGCATCCCACTTATTAAACGGATTTTACTTTAATTACATGATGCTTCAATTTAACGTTTTCATGTTTTGTGCTTGGGTAGGAAGCTTCATGAAATATGACAGTGTTTTACTGTTTCTAAATAGCAAAATTATGTTTTAACCTCCTGTTAAAATTGATTAGTGGAATTTCTTAATTTCCATGGATTGTAATTACGTGAACTGAACAATAATGAACTAACTGGGTATTTCTTGTGCAGATTTACATGACTTCAAGGGAAATCAGGCTGAGACAGAAGATGAAGTATGAAAAAGACAGGTGAGTTTGGTAGCTATCCCCTGAGCACTCTCTCTAGCTTGTTCACCCTAGGCATAGATAATGCCTTCAAACCAAACCCGTTGCCTTAGAGTCGATTTTGACTCCTAGTGACCTTGTAGAGGACAGAGTAGAACTGCTCCATAGGGTTTCCAAGGCTATAATCTTTACGTGAACAAACTGCCACATCTTTCTCCCCTAAAGCAGCTGGTGAGTTTGAACCACAAAATGCCTTGGGAGTTCTGATTTTCAAAATTGTCTTTTTTTTTTCTTTTTTTTGTCAATAAACAGAAAATTATGGGAGAAATCACTGCAAAGAAAAAAAAGACTCACTTCCTTTTCAGAAATTTGTTTTCAAATATTTATTTGTTCCATTCCATTTTTATGACTTTTACTTCTGCTGTTCCATTCCCTCTTCCAACCTAGACATGTACTTGCATTTGAGAAATTCTAAATGCTCCACAGGCCATAACTATAAGCACCATTAATAATACTACCTAATGATTTTCAGAAATATGACAAACGGAAGTATTTTTGAAAAGCACTGAAAAAAAGCAAAGGCTAGGTGGTCTTCAAACACTATGTTCCCTCTAAAAGTATGAACTGAAAATGACTCTTTTAGTAAATGATGTTTATTTTTTTGTCTAAAGGTTGCTACTCTCTGACCACTATAGTCGTCGAATCTCACAGGCATACAGTCTGATGAATGAGCTGTTATCTGATTCAGTGCAGCTACCAACAACTGCACAGAAACCATTGCCTTACAGACCCAGAACTGCTCGGGTTTCCACACAGCAACGCTCCCCTTATCCAAACAGGTAAGACAAGTTTTGGCATGCCATTTGGCAAGATCACTGAGGCCTCATAAGAAGAAATACAGTACTTTTGTAAGTTGAGTTCAGTGTATCTGCATCTACCCTGCTCAGAGTTATGATGATGAAGAAAAAAAGTAGCCCCACAATCATGAGCTCTTTATAAATTTGTAGAACCACCAAGACAAAAGGCAAAAATGACATTAAACCTCTACCTTAGATATAACAAAGCACTTCAGTATACCTAATATGATTTGATAATCTGTTCAGTCCTGTTTTTGTTATTATTTGTGTCTGTAATTTGCTTCCTCCTTCCTTCTCTCCCTGTTTTTCCACTTGTCACCTTTATTCTCACAGAAACAACCCATCCCCCCAGCTCCCGCTTCTCCCTCTGTTCTCCCTCCCCAGCCTCTCCAGTTATGCTGATTACGATGTAGATGCTGTCTGTTATATATTCAGTATTAAATCCAAACTGCGTTTACCTTTACAATAATGACCTTCAGTGGGTTGGATATGAGTCTGTTAGGCAGGAGTTAATTAAACATAGCATTCTTAAGAAAATTATCAAAGTGTAAAGTTTCTTATATGTGGCAAACACACACACAAGGTTACATCTATTGGTGATCCGTAAAGTGAACATGAATTGGCATTAAGTACAATTCTGTTAAAAATGACCATCTTTGACAAAATACAGTCAATTATGATTATTCTTGGTAGTTATTACGCTATAAAGTCCCCTCGAATACTGAATTAGCCAATACCGAACCAGCCTTTTGACCCCGGCTGGGAATTGTTTGCCCTTTGTGCATTTCTGCACGTCGTCTCGGACATATTCACACATACAGAATCCTCAAATGACGAGGATCGACTGTGAATGATTAGGATTATAAACATAATCACATAACCTAAGCATCTAGAGGAAATGCTACCATCACACCCAGACGTAATTAGATCACTAGTGTGTGTAGTTTGGGGTTTACTCAAAATACCAGAGACTCCCCTTGAATTCTTTCTAGAATAAAACAGGGTGTAAATACATAAACAACTATTAAAGATACAGAGAACTTGAAATGGATAGAGAGATAATAAAAAACAATTTAAAAAAAAGATGTTTGAAGTACTAGATACAAAGATAATTTGTTGAGGGTTATTATATGCTAAATGCATCACTGAGCTACAGAATCTAAGCAGTGTCAAGTGAATGTATTACTCTGAGGTATAATTTGGGCTTTTTGAAATATTAAAATTTATCACCGATATGAGAATCTAGGAATATAACTATGTAATTTCTACCTTAGAGAGAATCAACATGGTCACAATTCTCCAATAAATCAATGTGGAAAAGTCAGTTATTTATCCAAATCAAGTTATACCCCAGAGGGGAAACCTTTTGTGCAACCCCAAGATTCACCTTGGCCGAGTGGTAAGTCTAAACTTTTTCATATTGTGTGATTTTAATCTATTCCTTTGTGTCCTATAAGTTGTCTTTTTTTTTATTGGTAAAAGCTGTACATCTTAGTTCAAAGCAATTCTCATTTTAACAAAATGTAAGGAATTGATAAAGCCTTAGCTGTACTGATATTTTGTTCTATTTCTTTAAAATAAGACTCTAGGAGTCTTTTTAAACTATTGGGCTTTTTGTAATAGTATTTGAACAGTCAGTAAATTAGATATAACTTACTCCCAGAATCAGTTTCTTTTGTGTGTCTGGCTAAAGATGTAGGCATTTTTACAAATCAAGTTCTTATAGATTGGAGGGATAGCTATATCACAGAAGAAGGATGCTAAGAGGCTCACACTGAAATAATACCATGTTTTTATTCCTTTTGAACATCCTTTTCCACATTAAAAAATACAATATCTGTGATTTTCTGGTAGCATTATTTTAAGTAATATGCTAAAGGGAAACATACTTATTTATAAAATGATTACACATTAAAAATGTTTAATATTAGCTAACTTATATGCCAGGTTCAGTTTAAGCACTTTAATTACAATCCTGTTAGCTAAGTACTATATTATGTCCCTGTTTTAAAGATCAGTAATCCAAAGCAGAGAAAGTTTAAATAACCTGCCCAAGATAAGACAGCTAGGAAGTAGTAGAGCCAGGATTTAAACCCAGTCTGGGTCTAGAACCTATAATCTTAAAACCTACACATCAGTACACTGCCTCAGTTTAGAAAATTGAAGTTTCCATAATAAATTCCACTCCCTCTAGATAAAACCCTTAATAGTTTGGTTAACTCTTGCTTCTGATTGACAAATTACAATAAAAAAACACTATTCTTTCTAAAACTAAAATGTCAAAATAGTGAGCCATGGTTTCTTAATATCAGAGGAAAAAGTCTTGGATTACATGGAGATATGTCTTCCTCTTATATCTGTCCAATTTCAGGCCTGTTTAACCTTGCACTTTGACTGTTGCTGTGGCCTATGTCCATCCTCCAGTCCATCTCATCTCCCTTTGCTGGGTTATACCTGATGAGATCCTCCTGCTACTCCCGGGCTCAGAAGCCTTCAAGGAGTGTACTGACTAAGCTAAGCCCAGACCCTCTTGGTGGCCTTCAGGGCATCCTCCATGTGGTCCTTCTACCTCCTTAGCCTCCTTTCCTCATATAATCTGTGTGGCATGACAGTTTGTTTTTCAACCACATTCCATGCTTTTGTGCTTCAGTTAAGGAGCCCTGGTGGCGCAGTGGTTAAGCGCTCGGCTGCTAACTGAAAGGTCGGCGGTTCGAACCCCCCAACCAACCACTCCATGGGACAAAGATGTGGCAGTCTACTTCTGTAAAGATTTACAGCTTTGGAAACCCTGTGGGGCAGTTTACTCTGTCCTGTAAGGTTGTTATGAGTTGGAATCAACTCAATGGCAATGGGTTAATACAGTTTTTTACAGTAGGTTTGATTTGGTGCTCCAATTACTTAGTTGAAATTCTTCTCGCACTTAGAATTCCTCACCTGTGTGTCTTTGACGACGTCCCTAATCTTAACTCTTTAGTTCTTCCAACCTGACAAAATTCATTTTAAATTGAGGCTAGTACTTGAGTGGTTGCTATAAAAATTGGAGATTAATAGTGGCTAGAACAGTTGTTCTCTTAACCCTCAATCAGATGTTCTGATCTTCATTAATTTCTCTCAATAATATCTTGTAGTTTTCTGTATGAAGACCTCATACTTCTTTTGTGTGATTTATTCCTAGATATCTTGATTATTTTTACCACTTCAATTGTAAACTTCTTCTATTGCTAGTAGAAATACAATTGACTTTTGTATTGATCTTTCATCATATGATGATTGTAAATTCACCTAATTAGTCTAATAGTTTATAAAATATTGTAGAGTTTTTAGTTGTTATACTGTCTCCAAGAAAATACGAGTTTTTTCTCTGTTTCCAATTCTTAGGCTTGAAGCATATACCAGAGCAGGTCTTATGTTGTAGTTCCTCATAAACTTGTTATGTCCCATGCCAGACTAAATTCTTTGAGGGTATCAACTATCTCTTCCTCATCTTTGTATTACTCTTCACATTGAACAAATGAAATAATTGGATAGTTGGGTAAATAAATATGAAAAAAATGGCTTTTTAGGTTAGTTGTTGTTGTTAGGTGCCATTGAGTCAGTTCCGAATACAGTAGAACGAAACACTGCCCCATACTCGCCGTCTTCACAGTTGTTGCTATGTTTCAGTCCATTGTTGCAGCCATTGTGTGAATCCAGCTCGCTGAAGGTCTTGTATTTCGCTGACCCTCACTTTACCAAGCATGATGATAAAGTAGACTGGGAAATTGTCCCTCTTGATAACATGTACAAAGTACGTGAGATGAAGTCTTGCCATCCTTGCTTCTAAGGAGCGTTCTGGCTGTACTTCTTCCAAGACAGATTTGTTCATTCTTCTGACAGTCCATGGTATTTTCAGTATTCTTCACCAACGCCATAATTCAAAGGCGTCAGTTCTTCTTCTGTCTTTCTTATTTAGTGTCAGGCTTTCCCATGCATATAAGAGTTGAAAATACCATGGCTTGGTTCAGGCGCACTTTAGTCCTGAAAGTGACATCTTTGCTTTTTAACACTTTAAAGAGGTCTTTTGCAGAAGATACGTGCAATGCGGTGCGTCGTTTGATTTCTTGGCTGCTGCTTCCACTGGCATTAATTGTGGATCCAAGTAAAATGAAATCCTTAACAGTTTCAATATTTTCTGTTTATCATGATGTTGCTTATTGGTCCTATTGTGAGGATTTTTGTTTTCTTTATGCTGAGGTGCAATCCATACTGGAGGTTGTGGTCTTTGATCTTCATCAGTAAGTGCTTCAAGTCCTCTTTGCTTTTAGCAAGCAAGGTTATGTTATCTGCATATCACAGGCTGTTAATGAATCTTCCTCCAATCCTGATCCCTTCTCCTTCTTCTTATAGTCCCGCTTCTTGGATTATTTGCTCAGCATACAGATTGAATAAGTATGGTGAAAGGATACAACCCTGACACACCCCTTTCCTGATTTTAAACCATGCAGTATCCCCTTGTTCTCTTTGAACGATGCCCTCTTTGTCTATGTACAGGTTCCTCACGAGCACAATTAAGTGTTCTGGAATTCCCATTCTTCAAAATGTTATCCGTAATTCGTTATGATCCACACAGTCAAATGCCTTTGCATAGTCTTTAATAAAACACAGGTAAACACCTTTCTGGTATTCTCCACTTTCAGCCAGGATCCATCTGACATCAGCAGTGATATCCCTGGTTCCACGTCCTCTTCTGAATCCAGCTTGAATTTCTGGCAGTTCCCTGTCAATATACTGCTGCAACCGTTTTTGAATGATCTTCAGCAAAATTTTACTTGTGTGTCATATTAATGATATTGTTTGGTAATTGCTGCATTCTTTTGGATCACCTTTCTTTGTCACATAGAATACACATGGATCTCTTCCAATCAGTTGGCCAGGTAGCTGTCTTCCAGATTTCTTGGCATAGACAAGCGGGCATCTCCAGTGCTGCATCTGTTTGTTGAAACATCTCTGTTGGTATTCTGTCAAGTCCTGGAGCCTTGTTTTTTTGCCAGTGCCTTCAGTGCAGTTTGGACTTCTTCAGTACCATCAGTTCTTGATCATATATTACCTTCTGAAATGGCTGAACATCAAGCAATTCTTTATGGTACAGTGACTCTGTGTATTCCCTCCTTCTTTTGATGCTTCCTGCATCATTCAGTATTTTCCCTGTAGAATCCTTCAGTATTGCAACTCAAGGCTTGAAGTTTTTCTTAGTTCTTTCAGCTTGAGAAATGCCAAGCGTGTTTTTCCCTTTTGGTTTTCTAACTCCATGTCTTTGTATACTTCATTATAATACTTTACTTTGTCTTCTCAAATCTTTGAAATCTTCTGTTCAGCACTTCATCATTTCTTTTGTTTGCTTTAGCTACTCATGTTCAAGAGCAAGTTTCAGAGTCTCTTATGACATCCATTTTGGTCTTTTCTTTCTTTGCTGTCTTTTTAATGACCTCTTGTTTTCTTCATGTATGATGTCCTTGATACCATTCTGCAACTCGTCTGGTCTTTGGTCATAAGTGTTAACTGCCTCAAATCTATTCTTGAGATGGTCTCTAAATTCAGGTAGGATATACTCAAGGTCATATTTTGGCTCTCATGGACTTGCTCTAATTTTCTTCGGCTTCATCTTAAACTTGCATGTGAGCAATTGATGGTCTGTTCCGCATTCAGCCCCTGGCCTTGTTCTGACTGATGATATTGAGCTTCTCTATCATCTCTTTCCACAGATGTAGTCATTTTGATTCCTGTGTTTTCTATGTGACAAGGTCCACGTGTACAGTTGTCGTTTATGTTGTTGAAAACAGTATTTGCAATGAAGAAGTTGTTGGTCTTGCAAAATTCTATCATGCTATCTCTGGCATTGTTTCTATCACCAAGACCATATTTTCTAACTGCTGATCCTTCTTCGTTTTCAACTTTCGCATCCAATCGCCGGTAATTATCAATGCCTCTTGATTGCATATTTGATCAATTTTAGATTGTAGAATTTGGTAAAAATCTTCAATTTCTTCATATTTGGCCTTAGTGGTTGGTGCATAAATTTGAATGTTAGTCGTATTAACTGATCTTCCCTGTAGGTATGTGGATATTATCCTGTCACTGACAATGTTGTACTTCAGGATAGATCTTGAAATGTTCTTGTTGACAGTGAACGTGACACCAGTCCTCTTTTTTTTTTTTTATATTTTATTGTACTTCAGGTGAAGGCTTACATAACAGTTTCTCATGTAACAGTAACACACATGCTGTTTTATGACATTGGTTAACAACCCCACAACTTTTTACCCTTTTAATTTTTCACTTTTTTTTTTTTTTTTTTGTGAAAATACGCATAGCCAAAGATACGCCATTTCAAAAATTTTTTTTACATACACATTTAAGTGA